CAGTATCTGGGTGATAATACATTTATAATACGTATTTATTTACAAAAAAAAAGGTATATTTAAGTATGTTTATCAGTTATCTAGTACCCATAGGACAAGCGTTGCTTTGTTTGGTTGCGGAAGAACGTTGTTTAAAAATGTGTCCTGAAATATTTATTTATTTATTAATATTACATCCATTCCAAAATTACATTATGATTTGAAATCATACATAGCATACATACAAGAGCTTTTCCACTATTTTAATGCCTTATCCCACCTAGGTGAGGTGAGCACAACATGTCAATCGTGTTGTTAATGGTATTTAATTTATTTAATTTATTTATTTTCTTAGGTTTTTAGTGACCGGTCGCATGCCTAACATCAACCCTCCTGGGAAAATAACATTACAGATCGGGAACAATTGTGGGTCAAATAGTTGTCTCCGGCTCCGTATCAAATGCGCCACTGAATCATTTCTTAATAAAAATAGAACTTCCCTTCTTCATCACCTTTTTCCGAATATTCTAATCGAATCGAACAAGAGTGATGTTCTCTTACTGAGCTATGGATTCAGCTTTCGATCGATCATTATAGGCAGGCACTAGCCAATTAACAAAAACACTGTAGCAATTGCTGTTTCTCTAAACCGATCAAAACTTCGTTCTATTGTATCCTTTCTATTGTGTCCAACCTATTCTCTTCCCTGCACTGAACCACCTAATAAACTTTTGTTTACGTCGAATAGATCGTCCGTTCGTTATTACCTTAAAAAAGTGGACACTAAACGTCCAACTTCGCCCAATAAAAGCCTGGTAAAGCCGCACGGAACAGGCATCAGTGCAGATTATTAACCCTTAAGCGCTGCATTTAATCACCTGGGCACTATAACTCCTCTAGCGGCGGTCTATAGTGCCGAGACTAACTTTATTTCGGTCCGCTCGACCCTTCAAATCCCTGTTTAATGACCAGCCGTTATAGCGGCGCTTCGATTGCTGACAAATCATTACACCCTTTATATTTGGACTTTTATCTATTACTAGCTGCTGCCCGCGACTACGTCTGTGTAGAGTAGGCTGAAGGCGCAACATTCAGACAGACAGACAGATATAGATAAAATATTTGTATAACTTATAGCCTATGTTTTATTCTGATGTATAAGCTATGTTATTGTAAAGTTACATTAAAATCCATTCAGTAGTATTTGCGTGAAAGAGTAACAAACATCCATCCATACATACAAGCTTTCGCCTTTATAATATTAGTAAGAATTATATATAATATAAGTAAGTAAGGATTTACGGGTTTCTCTGGCTTTTTTATGTTAAAATTTGCAAGCTACCCTTGCCAGCCTCATAAAGTGGACCATGGTTACCTCACTCACTAGATTAACGCGAAAGTACGTCACTTCCACTTCACGCCGGTCTTTTATGAGGCCGTGGTAATTCCCCTGAGATGCTGCATGGTGAAAAAACCGGCCAATGCGAGTCAGACTCGCGCACGAAATTTCAACAGTTTTACTATCACGGTTCATGAGATACAGCCTGGTGACAGGCGGACAGACAGACAGTCAGTGGAGTTTTACTAATAGGGTCCTGTTTTACCCTTTGGGTACCAAACCCTAAAAAGCTTCTTTATGCAAGTTACCACAAAAAGCAAGTTTTTAATTAAGGTTATTAAGGTTATGAGTACGTGAAATATAACGATGAGCTGAGGTGAGCATTGGTGTGAATTGCTACCATTATTTCATACACTTTACACTTCGTAAACTTAGTTTGTTTCAGTCCTACTTGACATTTAAAAGTGTAAATAAATGATTGACTCTTGACATGTACAAATGTAAATGAAAGCAACTCAGTTTTTATTTCATCAAACATACGATACAGTTAAACGCGAAGCCCGTAAAGTAAGAAGACCACGGTTGAATCAGAATGCGTTAATGCGAGAGACTCGACCGATACTATCGTATAATTTTCACATACGTCTGTCTGTCCGCGTAATATCGCGTATATTTACATGCGTCCCTTTGTTTGACAAGTAATTACTGCGTCCGGATTGCACGTAGCGCTCCTGATGAATAGAGCAGGTTTCGTCAACTCTATTTAGTAACAATGTGCGTTCAAGTGATTTAATGTGCTGGTATCGATATATATATATATATATATATATATATATATATATATGCGTATACGCCACACACAAGTGTGTGTGTAAAATGTGTAATGTGTTTCTGATTTATTACTTTGTCTTTTTACTATATAACTTTATGTTTACGGTTGAAATGTATCCATGTATTTACAAATGTATTTACAAATTAAATGTATTTGCGAAAAAAATGTTTTCCTTCTTTCTTTTTTATATATGATGTCTGTTTCCACACTCTTTTGTGTTTTGAAAAGCTTTTGAAAAGCTTAGGTTCATATAATCATAGATTTTTCTTGCGGTACTATTAAGTCCCGTGGCAATTGGCAAACTCACTTAAGTTAGTGACCCTTTTAAATATGAAGAAATTACGACACGTATTACTCACTCTATTAACTCAGTGGCAATGACACAATATATAATATTCACATCAACGTATGACATGACACCAGCGTTGAAAGCATTAATCCATTGTATAAAATATGGGTGATTTCAGATCCAGACTGCCGTAGGTACTTTGTTATGAATTTATTTAATTCGTCATTTTTTGTAAGTAAAAGTAAAAGAAGAAATTTTAACTGTCTACTACGTTAACAAAGCACGCGAAGTGTTATTTTAAATTTTCTTTATGTTTTATACTAAATAACACAATTTGTAAACATATCGTATACTGATAGTTATACTTAACCTTAAAATAACCGCTATAAAAACGTTGACGCTATGAAAACTGTGGTAGGGCCACGCAATAGTTTCAGATACTGTCCGGTAATTACCACGACCACACAATATGGCCTATAATATGGCTCAGGACAAGTTTTCGTATTCGCGCATTAGAAAAAGCTCTACCACAAAAGAGGCTGGATAGAGATAGAATATTCTGTTCCGACAGTCTTATAAAGCGACACTATTAAGTACAATTAGATGTAGGTATGTGGAATGAGTATTGCAATAGTTGTTAAGCATGTTTTAGCTTACTTCAGGAGTCAATTAAGGCTTAAACTTTCTGCCGTATCTAAACGTCAGAATATCAAAGTCCCCACTCATGGGGTACATTTATATGCGAATAAAATAAATAAAGAGCAATAAATGACATAAACTTTATAATGACTAGGGAAAAAGTCCAATCCCGGAAGTATAAGGTCTCACTGACGTAAATATGTGTATAGTAAATTGAGAAAAAAAAATCATTTGCAAAACGTTTTTACATATCAACTATACTGTATACAACTGTCAACAGAATAAACGGAACCCAACAAAAACTTTCAGAGTTATTTTAGAGACCGTACTTCATTATTAATACGAAAATAAATTAAAAACACGACAGAGCCCCGCCATTGTTCGAAGCAGCCGGTTCATTAATTAAAAATCTTAGCAACAATACTGGGTCGTTAACTGAAAGAGTTCCGGAATGGATGGTATTACGTTCGGATACTCTGATAGTGTGGGCCATTAATCATTCTAAACTCCGTAGCGAACGAGGAGCGAAAATTCTGTTATTAACGTTCCGCTACAACTTTTATCTTTATCATTTACACGCCCTACACTTGAGCTGAGATGGTTTTTTAAATGTGAAAAGGTAGCGAGCGAGCTGATTAACCGAGGTTTAGGCTTGGCCCTGAGCGCCTCAAGTCGGTGCATCTGTAAAGTCCGAAGTACCACTTTTACAGTCACGTGCTACTTTTCCACGTAAAAAAGTAAAGCACGGCTCGGAATAACTATTTTGGAATACACTTATCTTTGTCCCCCTAATGGGTCGAACCCACGACACGGCGAGAAATGACAGTTGACGTAGTGACCGCTAACCACTATGCTATCCGTGCAGTTAAAAGATGTACTGGTACTGGAAGACTAACATCCGGTTACTGAAACCCTGATCATCGTAGAAATTAACTAATCAGCTGTCAAATGGCTACTTGTAAAATTTCATTTGAGTTGCCAAAAGGATGGTTACTCTGATGTTTAACTCTTTGAATTGATCATTCTGATCTTTGATGTTATGTTAGTGACATTAATCATTATTAATGTCACTAATGGAAAACAAAACTTTTGTTTACGTCATTCGTTTCAATGTACTTATGAACATGATGGAATTTTTGGTTAAAATTGCATCCACTTGCAATAATTGAATCTCTGTTAACAACTTGCTTTTAAAACTCTGCAAGAGCTTTAAATGTATGTAACATTTTTCTTTCCTTCCTCTTCCAGAGGTTTTTGTAAATAAAAATTTTTCACACAAGAAAAAACTAACATTAGAATATTTTGATGTGTTCTGAATGTTCTCTAAGTTTAGGATGGATATATAGAGCCTAGGATAATTTTAATGAATGTATTGGGGCTAACTCCTAACACTTAATTAATAATAGAATTTCTTAGAACACTTTATAAAAAAATTGATATAGTTAAAATGATACTTATAATATCATATTTATGATATAATAATTAGGTATGCTATTTTGAGAACGCGTGGTTTTCTTGATGACCGACCGTGAACTGACTGCTTGTCGCGGTATATTTTAATGCTTACAGGGTATTGGTGTACTTTAGGTAAAAAGTGCAAACAAAGCTGTTTGGTTCAATAGTTAACCGAATAGAATGTATGGGCTAATCTCTCGAATTCTTGACCCGGTCCCTTTATTGATTTAAAGCTTCGTTATCCCCGAGTATCATTAGCTATAAATTGCATCGAAAAATAATATTTTTAGTGAAGACTTTGTGTACCCGAAGGTTAGATCGAAGAAATATTAAATAATACGATCGTTTTTACCCATCATCATTTGAAGAAAAATTTAATTTGCCAACCCGTGCAAAGCTCAGTAGTCTAGTATTTTATGTGATAAAACTGTTTTGTATAAATGTGTTTTATAAGAAATGTCGGGATAATGCGCGGGTGTGGTCCAACTGTCGCTTTGGATGATTTATCTGCCGAGAGTACCGCTCGCGTCACCGCCTTTGGCCTGTGAGGAAACCTGGAACAAAAAGATGACGGCGATAATGTATCGGTTTATTTCCATTTCATTTTGAAACAAATAAAATATATCCTTTTGTTTTCAAAGAAGCACCTACAATGGCTAATGTAAAATCCTTTTATTTTTAGAGAAAAATACTTACATTTTGCTGATGTAGAGTTGAATTTTGTTTTCAAATTAAGAGTGCATAATATTCGAATAACGTCGACGTTGGAAATGACACACGCTAAATATTATTTTATTTAAAAATGCGCCTGTCAAATGATGATATTGTCTGATTTCATTACGTTGATCACAAACATATCTGATATTTGTTTTTAAAAAAAAATTCAGTCAACTATGAAGTTTCACAATTGGCGCGAAAAACGAAAATAAAGAAAAAAGATCCAAAAATGGAACGCGCACCGGGATATTCGTATTCACAATAAATTCGAAATCCCCTACCATTGAAAGACATTTTTGCTGTTATTTTTCACAACTGTTTTTCTGTTAGTTATCAATTATCTCGAGCAACAGGTGGCGGCAACAATGAAACTGTTAATTGCAATTTTCAGTGCCCACTTATCACATGCACAGCGATAAAGTAAAACTACGTAAGGTTATGTAGAGAAACTTGGAGGTTTCCTTAATATTTTCGACTAACTCGCAGTGGGATCGCGGGTGGGCGGACTTCACATATTGTCGAAAGATTTTTGAGACTATTCCCTTACACCCTCTGTACAGAGCAGGCCTTTGTCCAGCGGTGGCATACATATAGGCCGTTACCTTAACTCCGGCGCGTTTGGCCATCTTATGAGCCAAGTTTGGCCATTTAACTGTGGTAGGGCCACGCAACAGTGTTCGTTGTTGCACAAATGGGCAGGTCCGTCCAGGTAACCACGACCACACAGAAGGCCGGCGTTAAGCAGAAGTGTTACATTTCTGAGTTTCCTCTGGTGCGTGAGCTAACCGGGGCCCACTTTATTAAAAGGTTCGCGTCCGCAACCCTAACGGTGTTGCAAATGTCCATGCTTTTATCACTTAACATCAGGTGAACCGCCAGCTCGTTCGCCACTTTCTCACAGAAAAATAAATAAGCAACGGACAATCACTGTACTATTTGTTCGACATTGCAACGCGTTCCGCACCGGCGGTAGCGCTCCATATTTCGACAGCAGTGCGAGACCACCGCATTAGCATACGAAATTAACCGGACAGCGGAGCGCAGCTGGCGCCCGCTTCGCGACCACTTGGTCTGATTGAAATTGAAACAGCAATAACATATCATGCGCGTCACTACGCGTCGCGCGATTGCGACCGCTGTACGGCATGTAATTACGCGTGTATATTGCAAAAGCTCTGGGTGAAGTGTTCAGTCAGACTTTAGTTCAGACTTCAGTTTCCTTTACTACACCCCGGGTGACATCCACATCGCATTATTACGAATGGTGACCCCGTTAGACTTAAAGCGTACAAAATTTATCAGTACTAGCTGCCATTCAATATTTATGGTATCTACTGGTTTGGGGGTGGCCAACTCTGGTCCACGGGACGAGATAGAGTGGCTATTCTTACGCCGCAGTAGAACAAAGGTAACCGACATATCTCAGAAGCTTAGCAAGCTGAAGTGGCGAGGGGCTCGCCATATAGCTCGTAGAACCGATAACCGTTGGGGAAGAAAAGTTCTTGAGTGACAGCATCGTACTGGCCATCGCAGTGTAGGACGAGTTCAAATGTGCGGGAAGTCAATGAATGAAGGTGGTTCAGGATCGTACTTCGTGGCAGTCTATGGGGCAGGGCTCAGGTTCAGCAGGGGACTCAAACAAAAGATGATGATGATGGTGGTATTTTAGACAACGTTATCTGGTTCCAAAATTAACAAAACTTGTTTAAATAAATACATATTATACATAAATTTAAACACCCAGCCGCGCGACAACGACACCTACCTATCGGATGCACATTAGCCGTCGCTGAACGTTACTTTCTATATAAAAAATCTATACCTAGGTGGGTAAAGATGAGACACTTTATTTCGAGAGCGAAACACTGTCCCTCTCTATGTTACAGGCGTAAGCGTTTTTATTTGCAAATGGATTGCGACAGCTCCCATCGCTATTTATCGCTCCATGTTGGGCCTAAATTCGGGTCCAGGAGTTTCGGCGTCATCAACTACTGCGACGTCGCAGCGAGCGCTGAGCGGGGTCCTTAAATCACCCCCACAGGACGTATCCGTGGGAATAAACCAGCGGAGAGGGGGCGTTTCGTGCGAAATTAACAGCGGCTTGCGCAGGCGGCCACTTGATGTACAGTTAGTGCGCTACGAAATGTGTGGCAAGTCCCGTGGCGCAATTCATAAGCGTCGGCGTTGCTGTGACGCCGATGCAGTATTTAATTCTTACTATTAATTTTTATGTTTAATTCCTTTTATTTGTGGAATGAGTTCCCACAGGGATTCTATATTTCTTTTTAAAATATAATCTGAATATAGATTGTATTTGAAATTACAAGCTGTCACACAAATATTCTTTAACCCTTTTTTGTTTCGTTGACCCCAGTTTTTGTTCGCTTTTTCATGTTCCACCGAACATGCCACAGAACACGTGAGACTTTGGAAAATCTTTGGTGCACGGCACTGGTAATTGGTCCCAAGACCGCAAATCGCGTTTTTTATTTTCTCAGCCGAGTCATTGTGTATAATTATATAACATTAAATTACCCATGGTTATACATTTTGTTATAAATATTAGTTTCGCTAACGTCGGGCTAACCCACCGACTTACACTCAATCGCTCCCGCTTAAGAATTGCACAGCGTAGCAATATCATACCAGAGCAAAATTGACCAGCGCTGTCGCCACATCCAGAACGTGTTGGCGCACACAGCGGGCAGTAGCCATTAAATATTCATATTTATAGACTTTCCATTTTTCGTGAAATGTTACTGAAGAGTGTAATGATCAATATCGTGATATATTTTAGATAATTGTGGATCCCGATGACAGGAAGAGTGACCTGATCGGATTATTGGATTATTTTAATTTGTAGAAAAAGTACGAAAAGATTGTCGCCGCTTTGGGAATCGAACCCACGGCTTCGGCATTCGCGGCCTGACGCTCTAGCCACTGAGCTAAACGGCTGACTACCACTCCGACGAAAATCTTAACGTCTTTTATCTACATTGTTTTTTAGCATTTAAAGCAATGCTTGGCGCATCCATTGTTATCCTTTCCAACATACAACGTACTTTTTCTACAAATTTTATGATAAAAATTACATTGTCATCGATACTTTATTTTGCACCTTTTATTGTACTCTGTGGGGCTGTTGCCAAGGTATTGGGCCTCGGTGTCGGATGTCGTGAGTTCGATGCCCAGACGCGGCAACTATTTGTGTGACCCACAGATAGTTGTTTAGCATCTGATTGTTTGTCCACGTGAAATTTATGTTTTTTTAAAAGTCCTTACAACGCAGGATAGTGTTATTCTAAAATAAGGACAATGTTAAAAAAAAAAAAAAAACTTTTTGTAAATATCATATTTTGTTTTGGTCAAATCACCCATTTATTTGTCCACTGTTAGGCGTATTCCTCTCCTAGTAAACGCCAAATGATAATAATTACAATTTCTTTTAATTCTTACCACTAAAGTTTCTTTGGTTACCACAATTAGCATTTCTAGTGAGATAAACTTTTAAGTACAAAAAAGCATACTCTTTCTTATGTTATATTTGTGAGAAAAATGTGTTTCTTGTAGTCCTTTTAAATAACAATAAATTATTAACATTATGCAGATTATAAAAATATGTACTGATGTTAAACTTATGTCATGATTTGTGACATTTATGTATGAATGTTTAAAACACTTAATAGTTTGCATAAGATAAAACCGTTTCGAATAACCGTTCCTGTTTATAAAGCAAATAACAATATTTGTATACTTACTAATAAACGGATGCATGAGAATAGGTTTCCGTTACGTAGGTAACGTCAATACACTTTGCGAGTCTCCTTTGAAAAGATTATTTCGACGGAATAGAAAGCAAATAGGGCAACTTATCTAAATATTGTGATATTTGGTTGGCGGTATCAGGGCTGTAGCACTACGTCATTGTGTCCTGAAATAAAATGTTTCTTTATTATTATTTTAGTCACGAGAAAATTGATTAACTAGTCAAGTTTGAAATAGGTTTAATAGTAGACTAATTATTAACTTGGGTACCGTATGTGCTGTAATTAGAATGTATGATACTGACGTTGTATTTTGTAACTTATTATGTACTGTTATTATTTATGTTTGGTACTAAGTATAAGTGATAGCTCAGTATCCGGGCGCTCGCCTTAATTCAATGTATACTCGAGCAACCTGAGTTCGATCCCCGGTGTCGGCACCAATGAAGTTTTTAACTTTAAGTGCTGAATTATCACGTGCTCCGCGGTGAAGGAAAACATCGTGAGGAAACCTGCATATTTTCGGAATAATAACAAAAAAAAATGTATTTCGAAAATATGTGAAGTCCGCCAATCCGCAGTGGGGCCGCGTGGTGGACTATGCCCTGATACCCTCTGTATAGAGGAGGCCTTTGCCCAGCAGTGGGACATGTATAGGCTGTTACTTTACTTTACTTTTTACTTTACTAAGTAGCTAAGCTATTGTCTTTAGGGTTAGTGGGGGGAGAGTCGTGGGTACGATTTCAATCTTCCACGGGAAGGGCATTCGTGAGAGTTAACGTAATAATAAGACTGCTGAACTCACGTAAACCCGGTGTATGTAGCGACTAGTTTCGGACTCATTGGAGGTCCTTCATCAGGGTGAGTGAGATTAGTTCGCGGTCGCGCCCCGTCGTGCGAGACGAATAATATCATGATAATATCTAACGAAACTTTCAATAATTTTATGAGCCACAGTTAGTTGTTCTGAATCTGATGTTTGTTCTCAGAGACGGATTGACGTGAGGCAGACAGCCAAAAAATCAAGCCAATACTTCAACAAATCGATTCACATCTTACCCCGACCATAACAAGGTGGAATAAGAGCTGAAAAAAGTAACACTAAAGTAAAAAAAAAAAAACATTTAAACTGTTATTATCTATTTCAAGTAAACTTATTTTCCATATATTACATGATATATCACATTTATAAGCTGAATTGTGTTGTCCTTTTGATAGATTGAGAAAATACGAGGTACTAACAGATTTAAGTAGTAGATTCAACAATTACAAAAATTTACAAGTTAAAGTTTAATCTCGAGTGTAGAGACTAGAACTAATAATAAAAAGTATCTTAAAAAAACTGTAGTTTTATTTTAAAAATGAGTAATTGGCAACAATAGTCAAGGACCTACGATCGATTAAACATAATAGAACATATCTTCCAAAAAATCCTTACTTTTAAAGCTTTTATAAAGTCAACATATTTCATGTACAATATAAGGGTTACCTTTTGTGTGTAGACAAAGTACTTTGTTAAAATGAAATGTCTCCGAAAGTACGTACCAACCCTGCTACGAACAGGAATGGGCCACAATTGAATGTATAGAACGCTTTGCCAAATTGGATAGGTGCTTTCGTAAATATTACTTTTAGGAATAAGATATCTCTCGTTATCAACGTTGTTAAGTAACAATGGTCTTTTTAACGAATACGGATATAATGATATAACATGAAAGAGTTAGATGACATCTAACCTTTCTATGTATATTGTGTTCAATTTCGGAACGCAGTAAATGTATTTGTACACATAATGATCGTTATCATTTTTAGTGTTCCGCACCCAAAATGGTACAAAGACTCCGGTGTCTGTCTGTCCGTCTGTCACCAGACTGTGTTTCATGAACCGTGATAGTTTGAAAGTTGAAATTTTCGAAGATGATGTATTACTGTTGCCGCCATAACAACAAAAACTAAAAAAATGGAATAAAAAAATATTTTATATCTTCCCATACTGTTGTATGGGACCCTCACTTAAATATTGTCATGATGTTTTTTGATGTTTTTATAGATAATGGTACGGAAACATTGAAAAAAACTGAAAAAGAAACATAATTACCATACCAAAACCTTGAATTACTAAAACAAACCAAAAAAGATATCAAAAAGTAAGTTCCACTTATCATAGAAATTGTATAGATATAGTTATTAAATTCACAAGCCAAACAGTGGCTGCTGGGCTGGAGCTACATTTCTTTTAACATACCAGCGGATCCGACAGACAGACAATGAGTATAATAGTTTTATTTAATAAATAATAAATTCCCCTGTGTTTAATCTTTATATATATATTATTTTTCTGTACGTGAGTATGTCACTAAACTCCATGTATAGGACAACTACAACTCCTGTATACACGATTTAAATCCGACATCAAGTTGAAAATGTGAATCTAAATCATTCTCGAATCGACAAAAAATTTAATTAAAATCGGTCCAGCCGTTTAGGAGGAGTTCAGTGACAGACACACGGACAGAAGAATTATATATATAAATTATTATTAAATAAAACTATTATACTCATTTTACGGTATTAACTTTCAACTTAATCAGTTAAGTACAGCAGAGTGGTTCGGAAAAAAATTAAATTAATAATTTTCAAGCTCGGTACCGCGGGTTAACAAATGAGTTCAAAGTTCAAACATGTACCAATACACTGAATGATGTTACGAAGAGTATTGGTGAAATTAATGCTATGAAATTCGAAACGTGAACCGTAAATTTGCTTGCCATTTTGCGAGCGAGCTGGCAGTTCACCTGATCTTAAGTGGTAACCGCCGACCATGGACATTTGTAACACCCGTAGGGTTGCAGATGCGTTGCCACCTTGTCGGCCCCGGCCACCTTATTCACCAGACGAAACGCGGAAGTATAATACTTCTTCACGCTGGTCTTCTGTGAGGTCATGGTACATAACCGGACGGCCCTGCCCATTCGTGCAACAGCGATGACTATTGCGTGGCCGCACACGCGATAAAATTCACGAAAGTATTTTCGTACAACAATATTTTTTTTATGTGAAAAGTCAAGTGAACAGGCGGTTTACTTGATCTTAAGGACCGCCGCCCATGGACACCTGCATCGTCCGATGGCTTGCAGATACGTTGCCAACCTTTAAAAAAGTAGGTTCCGGTTACCTCACTTACCAGTCGAAAAGCGAAAGTTTAATACTTCCACTTCACGCCCGTCTTCTGCGAGGCCGTGATACTTTCCCGAAGGCGCCTACGCATTCGTGGAATAATAAGACCGTATAATAATTAGTTTAATTTTTAATTATAATAATTAGTACGGTTGTATATATCGTATGATAAATAAAAGTATTATAAGTCCAGTTTTTTATGTGAAAAGTTGCCAAGCGGTTTACCTGATGCTAAGTGAATACCGCCGCCTATGGACATCTGCTACACCCGAGGGTTGCA